TTGACTCAAAATATGCATAGGCCGTATTAGTACATAGTACCAGAACCTCTGGTACCAGAAAACTGAAGCTGTGCCTTTTTTATTTCCATTGGCCTTTGGTCCATAGCAAAGGTTCTAGTTTTATGTTTTTTGGTGCCTGTTCAGGTAACACTTGCAGCTAAAGCCTTAGTGAATTTCACTCTTCCATGTGAAGATAAAGTCACCAAGCACTACTGCATGACCAGCTAGTGCACCAGAATGTACACTAGAATGGTATGTTGGTGTGAAGAGTTGGCTAAGGTAGCGTAAGTACCCCTGTTACTGGCCACCTCAAAACTCTCTAAGCTAACTGTAAATGACTGAAAGCACTTTACTCACCCTAATCAATGTTTTTTTGGGAGAGATACATGTGTAGATTAATGTGTTTACTTTGACACTAGTATCGCTAGAATGATGGGGGTCCCCCAATATCGACCACCTCACTTCCGGTTTTCCGTAACTCATCTTTCAGCCTAAAATTCAGCGTATAAAACTGTAAAAAACATGTGACGTTATTGTATTGTTTCATTGATGTAACAATCTGTATTGATGTTAGGGGTAGCTACGTTAAGCTAGATAGGAAGCTAATGCTATTAGCATTGATTGTAGCCTCCACAGAAGTTTGATGTTTTGCTCATATTTTCACACTTGATACTTAAGAAAAATGTTTTATTTGATTTTGCACATAATTTTGTGTGGTACTGACCGCAGCACATGAACTACATTGTTTCATATCAGCCAATAAGTTAAGCTAACTAGCATGCAAAGTAGCTAATTAGCCAAATGTGATTCCTCAGAGTAAAATGATGAAAAGATAGTAAGATTGAGTTCACTGTGGTTACATAGTTCCAGCTGTCTCTATTCAAGTGGCCAGTAAGTGCATCAGAATGTAAACTAAGGTATGTTGATATGAAGAGTTGGCTAAGGTGAGCTAGCTTGGAAGCTAATGCCATTAGCATTGATTCTAGCCTCCACAGAAGTTTGACGTTTTGCTTATATTTTCACTCTTGATACTTGAGAAGAATGTGTTTTATTTGATTTGCAGTACAATGCAGTACATTGACAAAGTTAAGCTAACTAGCAAGTAGGGCTGAACAATTTGGAGAAAATATCGAATTGCGATTTTTCGGACTAATATTGCGACTGCAATTTAAATGGCGATTTTTTTTTTTATAAATGGTGATTCCGGCCTGATTTTTTTTGGCCAGGAAGACCAGAATATCCACCTTGTCTGGCTTGAGGCTCGACCCCTGAACGCAGCGTGCTGAACTGCCAGTAAGTTGTGGTTGTGATGTCACAACACATGGAAATTTGGTTGACTCTGATTGGTCTAACTCGTCTGCAGGCACTTCACAAACTCGGTTAGGTTCAGTTTCCCCTCTGTAAACTTAAAACAACCGTTTTGTTAGTGCACACATTTAAAAATGTGTGCTAAAATAAAAAATAAAAAAATTGCAGCTTATGCGATTTGAAAAGTTAAATTGCCTTTTATTAAATTAAATTGCCTTAAATTGCGATTTCGATGTAAAAACAATTAATCTTTCAGCCCTACTTGCAAGTAGCTAAGTAGCCAAATGAGATGCCTCAGAGTAAAATGACCAAAAGACAGTAAGATAGTTAGCTGTGGTTACATAGTTCCAGCTGTCTCAAATAGGACAACTAGAACTGTAATATCTGTTGGTTCCCATTTGGTTCAGTTGGAAAAACACCCTTAAAACTGCCCATTGGCTTCTATTATAAGTGTTGTTATGGAGGTTACAAAACTGAGGAGGTGACCGGAATGAGTAAATGTTGCACACAAATGTGTATGTATTTTTACACACCACTCAGTAGCACGTAGACCCGTGGTTCTCAAAGAGATATTGACATGCTTTTTAAATTATGCTTATTATGACAGGCTCTCTCTTTATAAGTCAGGTTCCCTTCCAGTTGGCTCAGATTTGTATGTATTTTAAAGAGAAATTTAGAAATAACTTAGAAAACCTTTACTTTTTTGAGTAATTACTCGTATTTATCAAACCTCTTAGACTAATAATACTGATCTACGATCAGCTGATGTTTTTTATATAACACTGAATAACATCCCATTACCTGATGAGACCTGATCTTAGATCAGTTCTCTTACTTTGAGATTCTTGATCAACGTGGGCCGCTGTTAGCAGCATGTGACGAGGAGTAAAACCAAACAGGAACTTGAACATCAGCATGTTTTTAGCTTAGCTGTGGAACTTCAAGACCTTGAGTGAGACGAGAAGATAGAGAGGACTTCAGCTTTCTAAAAAAGCCCCTCAACTGTGGGAAAAACCGTGCCACTCTGCTTCCACTCTGCACCGCTCACATACTTTCCCGCACTCGTGACACAAAGAAGGCATTTCTGTGGGAGACACGGCCAATGTCATCATACAGAAAGTTCAGAATAGTTGCTTACAAGTTTGTTCAGTGTTAGTTGGCCGTTGACTGGCTTGAGATTTTTTCGTGCAGCGTGAGAACCTGAGAAAAGACCCACGCCAAATCGTGAGAGCTGGCAACCCTCATTGTTTTGAGTAAACTGGAATAAGTGAACTAAGTACACAGTAAAAATATTCTTTGCTGTAATCGACCATATATTACAAAAGCACCAGATAGAGATCGGGTTGATATGTTGGAGTATTCCTTCAAAGAAGCATCAGTTGAAAGGTCCATTATTAAAAGAACCATTTTTGTCCCCTTTATTTTGAACTTTTAGTCAATTCTAACCTCAGGTCATCGGTTATACACCGATCAGGCATAACATTATGACCACCTCCTTGTTTCTATGCTCGTTGTCCATTTTATCAGCTCCACTTACTATATAGGTGCACTTTGTAGTTCTACAGTTACAGACTGTAGTCCATCTGTTTCTCTGATACTTTGTTAGCCCCCTTTTACCCTGTTCTTCAGTGGTCGGGACCCCCATGGACCCTCACAGAGCAGGTACTATTTGGGTGGTGGATCATTCTCAGCACTGCAGTAACACTGACGTGGTGGTGGTGTGTTAGTGTGTGTTGTGCTGGTCTGAGTGGATCAGACACAGCAGTGCTGCTGGAGTTTTTAAACACTGTGAGTGTCCACTCACTGTCCACTCTATTACCTTGTTGGTCCATCTTGTAGATGTAAACTCAGAGACAGCAGCTCATGTGTGTCAGCATAGTTTATGTTGGTCATCCTCTAGTCCTTCATCAGTGGTCACAGGACGCTGCCCACAGGACGCTGTTGGCTGGATATTTTTGGTTGGTGGACTATTCTCAGTCCAGCAGTGACACTGAGGTGTTTCAAACTCCAGCAGCACTGCTGTGTCTGATCCACTCGTACCAGCACAACACACACTAACACACCACCACCACGTCAGTGTCACTGCAGTGCTGAGAATGATGCACCACCCAAATAGTACCTGCTCTGTGAGGGTCCGTGGGGGTCCTGACCACTCAAGAACAGGGTAAAAGGGGGCTAACAAAGTATGCAGAGAAACAGATGGACTACAGTCTGTAACTGTAGAACTACAAAGTGCACCTATATAGTAAGTGGAGCTGATAAAATGGAGAATGAGTGTAGAAACAAGGAGGTGGTCATAATGTTACGCCTGATCGGTTTATATCTAAGCAAGAATTTATTACTACACTTTTAGGGCTGCTTTCCTGGACGTAGTTGGTCTAGGACTGACTTGAATTTCCAGTGGTGAGCCGTCATTGAACATCTGTTCTTCTAGGCTTTGACTTAATCTCCAAGAAGCACCTACCTTGTTCTTCCACTCGCTGGCCACTTTCCTTAATTTCCAGCCTGGGATCAATAATGTCTTATCTTATAGATCCACTACATAGGTGTACAATTACAGCATATGTAGCCCATCTGTTGTCGTAGGCAATTTTTCGTCCACCCCCTACCCAATTCATCATTGGTCAGTTTCTGGCCACAGGACGTGCTGTTGACCAAATATTATTTGGGTGGTGAACCATTCTCAGCACAGCCTTGACTGTTTTTACACACATCACTGTCATTGCCAGGTTGAGAGTGGCCAACCCACCAAAAATATCCAAGCAAGAACAGCTCAGTGGTCAGTAACTGACCACTAATGAAGGGCTAGAGGATGGCTAACAGACTATGCATGAAAAAAAGGTCTCTAACTCTACACCAGCAAAGTGGAGCTGGGGTTTCTAATAAAGTGGCCAGTAAGTGTGGTTGTACTGAACTGATGACGTATTTACAACGTAACATGATATTAAAGAGCACATAGGGATGCACCGATTTGGGTATTCTAGGTCAACGATGATGTCCGGTACTTTTCAGGAACATGCAGTGCTGTGCAAAAGTCAGAGACCACCCCTTCGTTTATTTAATTTCTAGTCAAAAAGGTCATTAAGTACGAGTTATTCATTTTTCAACATCAGAATAAAACAGAAAATGTATATGTAACAAAAAAATACACAAATAAATATAATTTCAAATTTTTAATCATTTAGTACTAGTATTTAGTGTCCAGCCTTTGCTTTTATTTCTGCTTCCATTCTTTTTGCTTTCAGCTTTTCCAGGAAATCTGCTGGGATACTTTTCCACACCTTTCAGTCTTGGAAGATGGTTGCTTTTTTTTGATTCTCACAATCCGTGTAACTGAATGATTCAGTGGATTTAAAATTAGTCGTCAAATCTAAGCCTTGGATAAATTTCTTTAAATTTAAATGACCGTCTGCCCATAACGATGTGATTCTGGTACGATCATTTATTTTTATACATAGCATTAGAAGAAGGCCAGACTTCTTAATTGTATATTAATGATATGGGATGAAATATGAATAATCAAAACTGATGATTAGAGATTCTTTTGCTAATACAGAAAAAGAGCTAGACTGCTCTCAAATTGTTGCCTCAAGTGATTTTCTCTCATTCTCAGATGTAATCCTGCATGCACTCATCAGTTCACTGCCTGTTTCTAAACTCATTATTTTCCTCTCTTTCATCACTCTGTCCAGGTTGTGTGTGCAGTGGGCACTTTTGAGCTGCAGATCCACCAATGGCAAAACTCTCTGGGCATTCTACAGAGCGGTCAGTGCTGTGACCTCCAGGCCGGCGGGGCTCAGCAGTGTCCTTCCAATGATCAGTGTGACACGTTCTTCAAGGTGTGTCTGAAGGAGTACCAGGCTCGTGTGGCCCCCACGGGCTCCTGCACGTTCGGCTCGAGCAGCACGCCCGTCCTGGGTGGAAACTCGCACACAGTACGGCACCATGGACACGAGGGGGCCGAGGGAGGCCGCATCATCTTCCCCTTCAAATACGCCTGGCCGGTCAGTTCAGCTTCAGTTTGGTTGCTGTTAATTATACATAGCTTAAATGTTGCTGTTGAGGATTTTTTTAAGGGAACTGTTTGGCCAAAAATCTAATTTACACAGTTTTCCTCATCTTTGGACACTCTGGATAAAATGACCACTGTGTATCCACTGTTACATCTTTTGTAAACATACTTAGTTGCTTCCTGTAGTGGTGCTGCATTTGGCTCTGTAGTGAGATTTTCTGGTTTAAAGACAAGGAAAACCCCTTCTGATGATGTGTCTTGACTACAACTGCTTTATGGTGGATTTTAGAGGGTGGGCTTACTGACTTAGATTTCTTTACAGTGGTTGTGATAGGAACCAGACGTCCTGATGTCTACAGTGCAAATATAGTCAGTTTATTAACTATCCAAAATCACCAGTAAACCTACACATGCTTTTTTAGTTTTTATGTATTTTTATTTATATACTGTTGATGGTAAAATAGAGGTCAATCTGAAAAAAATAAGTTTAACAAGTTTTCTTTAGGGACTATTTTGCCTTACATCACCCTTCATGTATCATTCCACCATAAAACAATTAAAATAAATTGATTTTAACACCTTATTAAACAATGTCTCAGGCGTCAGGCAGCGTATTCATAACCATTTCATGTAAAAACTTTCTCAATAACTTTCTGTAAGCTGGCTTTTAGCGGCATTAAACTCTTCAGACGTCTGGTTCCTATCACCACCACTATGAACAATTTTGACACAGTAAGTTTCTCTGGAATGAAGCATTTTCTGCCAAATCATTCTAGATGATTTTGTTGACACATTAACAATTTAATTATGCAGAAATTTTGAAAAATCAGTGGAGTTCCCCCTGTGGTGGTGTTCCCCTTGCACAATGTTAATTGGAGATGCACAAACCTCTATAACTTGTTAGCTACATTTTCATAAGTGCTGTATAAACAGAGAGCAGTAAACTGGACAATGGGGTAGATTTAACTATTAACTATAAACTGTAACTATTCCTTTAAAATATGATTGTGGAAATTTCCATTGTTATTTGGGCTGCGTCTGATTTTGTATTTGTTCTGCTCTGACAGTGTTAGACTTTCTCAGAGTCGCTGGCTTTTAATCGACATCTTACAAAGTTGCTATTAAAGTCTGCCTGTTGCTGCTGCTGACTTGCTAATACATTAGCATTCGCTTGACCTTGAACTGGCCTTCATTTGGCAAGACATCAGCTCAGCATGGCCCTGCGCTGCCCCAGCAGTGGCCTTGCTCTGAGCCGCTGTTGTGACAGAAGGAGTGGTGCGGTCAGCGTTTGGCTCGTAACTGCCCAAGTCTTTAAGCTGATTACACTCTTTCACCCGGCGCTCATTGATCAGAGTGGATGAAGTGCAGTGGAGAGATGGCTGTGCGGCGCGAGTCGCCTAGTGGGCTTCCTTTGCAGCACTGAGGCTGGACTTGTGTTACTCAGTGTTCTATGTTCTTTTTCCTTCCTCGCCTCTGCCTCCTACTCCCATCCGCACATTCTCTCCCGACTCTCTTCTCTGGGTGAGCCGCCGGCCGGACAGTGCATTATTGGCTTCCCCTAACGTCTGACCTTTGACCTTAATGACTAAATTGTCCTTCTTTACAGTCAGTCCTCACTGCAGTACTTCTCCTCTGTTCTGTACTCGTCAGTTTTCTTCTCCTCTTGTCTGTTATTCTCTTCTCTTCTCTTCTCTTCTCTTCTCTTCTCTACTCTTCTGTTCTCATCTCTTCTCTTCTCTTTTTCTCTTCTGTTCTCTTCTCTTTTTCTCTTCTATTCTCATCTCTTCTCTTCTCTTCTACTACATTCTTCTCTTCTTTTCTCTTCTGTTCTCATCTCTTCTCTTCTCTTCTACTACATTCTTCTCTTCTCTTGTTTTCTCTTCTCTTGTTTTCTTCTGTTTTCTTCTGTTCTGGTTTGTTGTGTTGTCTCTTGTTTTCTTCTCTTCTCTTCTCTTCTCTTCTCATCTATTCCATTTTTCCCAGTTCTCCCCCGTTTTCTTCTCTTCTCCTCTTTTGTTCTCTTTTGTTTTAAGTTCTCTTCTCTTCTCATTTTTTTCTCATCAGTGCTTTTTAATGACTTTTGTCTTTATTTGTTTTTGAAATGGAAAAACACAATGGAATAAGTGATTTACAACAACAGTAGTGGAGAGAGATACATTCATTAGATGTTTATTAGTGATAGTTTGACCAAAAATCAAATTCTTCAGAATGTGATCAACCTAAATGATCAGCTAAGACATACTTGCACTCTCATTTTGCTGTTGTAGTTTTTACTGGATATACAAGGCTGGCATGCAAACTGAGTGCCTCAGTCATACATTCTTGCAACAAACTGCTCAAACAGACTTGCGGATGTGGTTTTCTGACACTGTACAGAAGAAGGTTTGAATTCTGTAAGTCACCTTTGTTTACTTTTACAGATGTTTTATAGATTCCTTAACAACTCGACACAGTGTGCCGTGTGCTGATTAGCATGCATTCATTACTTGTTAGCCTCCAGTGTAAAACTAAAGAAGAACACTTCGAACAAAGATGTCTTGGTGGATCATCTACTGAACCACATCTTTAATTTTGCGAGGTGGACAGAAGCTCATACAAGGTGACCTCACTTATACGGTCAGATTGCTGACGTTCTAAAACCCTTCACATATGAAATGAATGGATCCCTCCACTGGTCTTATTTAAAGCCTATTTAAATAACTCCACTCCCTTTTCTCATGTCCTTGTTACCCTCTACCTGTAAATCTTTGGTTACTTTGACTTTCTCTTTCTCTCTTTCTTCTCTCAGACGGTTCGACCTTTCCTGTCCTATCATCCATAATGGATCAGGCTAATTCCCTTCTAACGTTACTCACACGGGCTATTTCTGTTCAATTACAGCTCAGCAGAGTCGTTCTACAGTTCAGTACCAGTTTTCCGTCTGCCAGTTATGTGTCGCTTAGCATAGTTGGCAATGAAGGAGAAACAGATAGACAGAGAGAGATAGAGAGAGAGACAGAGGCAAGCGGAAAAAAAAGAGAGAGAGTTTGATGCAAGACCACAAGCTCAGTCCATAAAAGTAAGCCAGAACAACAGCCCGAGCTGGGTTGGGTCTGCTTGTTTGTCTTGTGGTTTCAATCATTGATTTTAAAGGCTGAGTTTCCTCAGCAGTTTGGTTGGGGCTGTGTTGTGGTGTGGTGGTGGAGGGGAGGGGTCTGGTTGGGGGGGGCGGGGGTTGAAGGGGTCAATTCCAACCCCCCCACCACTGTCTGTAGTTTCCCAGAGATCTTAGAAACACAGACCTAACTAGGGCTGAATGATTTGGGGAAAATACCTAATTGCGATTTTTCTTATTAGTATTGCAACTTATTGTGATTTAAATTGCGATTACTTTCTGTGAACTGAAGTCCAGACCTGGTATTTTGGCCAAGAACTTCCAGAACATCCACTTTTTCTAGTTTAGGCTTGAACACTGGACATGACAGACTGCAAGTTAGTTGTGGTTGTGATGCCACAGCATATAGGTTTTTGGTTGATCTTGCTCTTTTACTACTCTGTTGTGGCTCCACAGCAGAATCAGATATTTAGGTAAAAATAAAATAATCCTCCTTTACAGTAAAATAAAGCTCTGCTTATTTTTCTAACACAGTTTTAACAATAAATGGTCTTAAACATTGAAATGTATGACTGCCTATTCACCAACTTTTAACCCTGAAGCTTGGCGCACAGACTGCTGGTCACCATAGCAACAGTCACGCTTAGCTAGGAGCTTACGAAGATGAACAAAGAACAGAGGCTGTTACAGCTACAAAGAAGGACTAACTCTGTATTAATGCCTTTGGTTTTGGAATGAGATGTCCAGCAAGCTCGTACAGGTGTGATGCCAGGTGTCCACATACTTTTGGCCATATAGTGTAACTTTGCTCCTTCACTCTGCTAGCTAGTTTGCAAGTCACACAGCAACTACACAGCTAGGAACAATGAAAAAGAAGCACAATGCGCCACAGTTGTCATTCTAAACCGAAAGCATATATTTAAGGTTGTGAATAGCTCTGTTATTTGTGACCTTATTTGTGTCAGCTGTAAGTGCAAGTGTTGTGAAATGGAAGAATGTAGGAGCCACAACAGTTCAACCATGAAGCGGTAGACCATGTAGCTTGTACAAATTGCCTATCCTCTGTTGCATCACTCACTATAGAGTTCCCAACTGCCTCTGAAAGCAACATCAGCACAGAAACTCTGTGTCAGGAGCTTCATGAAATGGGTTTCCATGGCTGAGCAGCTGCACACAAGCCTAAGATCACTATGCGCAATGCCAAGCATTGGCTGGGGTGGTGTAAAGCGCCGCCACTGGACCAGTGGAAACGTATTCTCTGGAGTAATGAATCACGCTTCACTATCTGGCAGTCTGATGAATCTGGGTTTGGTGGATGCCAGAAGAACGCTACCTACCGGAATGCATAGTGCCAACAGTAAAGTTTGGTGGAGGAGGGATAATGGACTGGGGCTGTTTCAGCATATAAAGCATATATATTTACAGCATATAAAGTACAATTTAGACTGTTATCTGCTTCCAATTTTGAAGCAACAGTTTGTTGAAGACCCTTTCCTGTTCCAGCATGACTGAGCCCCTGTGCACAAAGGGATCTCCTTAAAGACATGGTTAGCTGAGTTTGGTGTGGAGGAACTTCAGTGGCCTGCGCAGAGCTCTGACCTCAACCCCAGCGGACACCTTTGGGATGAATTGGAATGTCAATTGCAAGCCAGGCCTGCTCGTCCAACACCAGTGCCCGACATCATAAATGTCACAAACTCCCACAGACACACTCGAAAATCTTGTGGAAAGGCTGTTACAGCTGCAAAGGGGGACCAACTCCATATTAATGCCTTTGGCTTTGGAATGAGATGTCCAGCAAGCTCATACAGGTGTGATGCAAGGTGTCCACACACTTTTGACCATAAAGTGTCACTCTAGCTAGCAAACTAGTTAGTAAACTAATCAACAACAACACA